ATATATATATATATAGTGTGTGTGTGTGTGTGTGTGTGTGTGTGTGTGTGTGTGTAATTTATTTTTTTAAATGCATATAATTTATTTCTAAATTATCCCAATCCTTGAGGTTAAGAGAGATAGTATAAAATAGAAATCTGAAATGAATTTAAGTATCAAAATATATAAATGTTTTTAAATTATACCATATTGAAAACTTAATATCAAGTAACATTCCTCATAAATATGACAATAAGAATTAACAATTCTGTGAAATTCTGATAACCTTATATATGTATTTATTTATTTTGTTTAATTACAAATAAAAGTAACGTTCTTATAACTTTCCTAAAGTATAATTTGTTACTTATATGTTGTCTGTCACACATAAAAGACATAGAGCCGATCAAATTTGGTAAGATTAAAGAATTGATTTTTATAATAATTTAATTATTAAGCATAAAATAAATAACTAATAGATTATAACTTTTTACATAAAAATTCTATTTCTTAATCTTATTCTCACTTTTTTAAAATGTATTTTGTTTGCATGGATATTGATCGTAATATTTTTGAAATCTTGTACTCTATACTCTATAGTATCTTTTTAGATATTAGATAAATAATTACGCTTTTGTCTTAAAATACAATACAATATAAAATGTTGGACAAATAATGATAAATTTCTTATAGTAGCTAACAAAAATAATCATGTTACTTTGTGTTATGTTACTACTTAGTTACAGGCATCAGTATAACAAGATTAATTACGACAAGATAAGTAACAAAAAAAGTATAATTTGTTTAGTTACATTTTGTTATCTATAATTAGAAGAGAGAAAAAGAGTGAAAAATGTTTAACAGTAATATTAAAATGCTATTTTTATTCTTGACCGCTGGGATTTTTATTGTAGGTAAGTTAATTTATATTGTACAAAACATGAATATTCCATTTATGAAATGGCAATAACAAATAAAAATATAAAGAGACACGTTTATAATAAATATATTATATAAAATGCGTAACAAATATATATAAAATATAATTAGAAGAAAGAAATATGACATAGATTAAAATATTGATAAATCAAGACAATACCTTTATATCATAAGGAATTATAAACTATATAATAAATTATCATATTAGAAAACGTACAATAAAATAATCAAAATATATAATCATTCGATTTATAATTTCATTTTTTTCTTTCTTTTATATGTAATATAACAATATATGTAAAAAGATATATAAAATAATTTTTCATGTATTATTCAATAATTAAAAAATTGTTGTAATAAGATCATATTTTTAATTAAAATTTAATTTATTAATAATTTATTTTAAATATGTTATTTGTTTCATTATATAATTATTCTATGTACAATAAAATTCATTTTTAATAAAATAAAATCTTTTAGAATAATTTTTATTATATTAATAAAAATCTAAAGTAAATAAAAACGTAATCTTTAGAAATTGAATATAATATTGAATAAAATATCATTATTGTTTTAGATAATGTGAAAAAAGTTCGTGACATAAAAGTAAAATTGAGGAAAATTATAGATACAAAATATCAAAGACGACTTTTGCGAAGACATGGATAATCACAATATACGCAATGGCAGGCATAACAATAGCAGTGATTTTATTTATTCTACTTTGCCTCTTTTATTCGATTACGTAAATGCAATTTTCATAATCTACTTATAATTTTATTATTAAACATAAAATATAATTTTATAATTCATAAATAAATCTAGTTTGCAGATATGTAAATATATGTAAAATGTTTATTTAAGAAAACTATAGAAATGCAGTAATCATGATATACTTTTAATATATAATATTCATTAAAACTTTAATGTATAAGAAAATATTAGATATTATTATATTATATTTATCATTATGATACCAGCAATAATTAAAATTATATCATAAAACTTCTTTTTTATTTTAACCTTATTTTAATTTATTTAACTCACTTATTTTAAATGCTTATTTTCAACAATTTGTTCACAGAATTATAAAATATATAAGAAATATTACAAATTATTGCTAGATATACTCGTAACATTTGGAGAAATTTATCCATTTAATTCGTCAGCATCGAAACAGATATAGAATACGTAGTGCACCGTTTCAAGATTTGATGAAGACATGGGGACATATCATTTATCAATTTACACTTACAGTAAGAAGAAATACACATTGTAAGTAAAAGATATTATAAGTAACAATATGTACATTTTAAAAAATGCGACTAAATTATTCGTAAACATATTATTGCAAGTATTGTACGATTTAATATTTGCAGCAGTAGTTTAACATAAAATAAAAAATTGTTTTAAATATAAACTTCAAAATAAAACATAAAAATATTAATATTATTTCTTTTTCATCATTAAATTGTATTTGTGAAGATGATTGTGATATAAACAGTCGTAGAAAGAATAATGTATGAACATTCTTTCGCATGTTTTCTTTTAATTATTTAGCAATCTCATAATATATAATTTATATTTTAATATTTTTTTCATTTAAAAAAATGTAACATACATAAAATATGTTTATGCGATCTTTATTGTGATCAACTGCTATGTATATGTATATGTATGTATATATGTATATATGTATGTATGTATGTATGTATGTATGTATGTATGTATGTATGTATGTATGTATGTATGTATG